ATTACTTCGAGGATTACCGAATTACTTTTACAGTTTATAAAGTAAGACTTGAACTTTCTAATTCTGTTTGTCTTACCCTCTCGAAATTCGTATTCGTGACTCGGAATTTGATCTTGTGACAGAAAATCGTTACTTTAATAGGACTTCCTTATGATAAGATGATCTGCAAAAATCGGCCAATCATAATAAAGCCCGCTATGCTTACTATGGTATGTTACTACTAACAACTGTCTAAGAGTAGCCTAATTGCTTCCATAAATTTCTACAAATTTATATTCTCGTACTGGATTATAACAAAGTTATGAACATATTGATCGTGTTTGACTAGCTGATGTTTGTGTTATAAATTATCTTGAGAGAGATTTCATAGATTCAATCTACGCTATATAAAAGCTAAACTGCTTGTGCCTACTTTTTAACAGCCATAAGACTATCTTTTTAAATTTCACGATTATTTACCCTTTCTGAAAATTTTCATGCTATTCCATTGGAGGTTTCAGGATTAACTTTGAAGATAAGTAGGGACTTAAAATTCTTATTTGTTCTAACTTTTAAATCAGACAATAAAATAAAAGTTATACCTTATAAAATCTATAAATTTTTGATTTTAATGATACCATTGTTATTATAAGATAGAATTTATATATAAACACTATTGTTCACTTTATAAAACTCTTAACTATTAAGAAATCACAGAAATATATATGGTTTCATAATACAGTACGTATATTTGTATTAAAGTTAATACCATTCCTGGTTTTGGCGCGACTACATTGAGCAGCTGCCTGATTAAAGAAAGCAATAATTTTCATTACACCTGATATTGTATTCTAATTAGCTTTTATATATACAATATACATACGATACGTACATACATGCATTGTACAGATACATACGTACGTAGAAATTGTTTTAAAACAACTATAAATTAAAGTGTTATTAAAATATATTAATAATTTTTAGTTTTGTTTATATATACTATTTATTTATTTATAATGATTTTAATATAGGATAATGTTAAATATCGCAGGTTGCTATATCGCAGGTTAATATGATCGACCAGGATCTTGTGTAACAAAAATAAACGAAAAATTAGGAAAGAAAAAAGTCAAAATTTTAAACTTCTAATTAAAAGTTTTTAACACAATTTTGCATATAAATATGCCTTCTAACTCTAATCCTAATACTAGCTCGAACCCTAACCCTAACTAATAATAATTTTAATTTTTTTAAAAATATATATTAACCTGCGATATCACAACCTGCTAAATTTAACAAAAATCAAATTAAAATTATATGAAACCTTAAAAAATTGAAAACACGCCCCCGGGGCATCGCCCTGGTCTAAGAGCTAGTCAATTCATTAGTTATAAACTGAAACCTTACATACAATCAACAAACCTTTCATACAATCAACAACTTTCTTGTCTCTACTTGCTCATTCTTAAAGTTTTACTTCAGAGTCACATATCAGCCACTATTTTTCACTAAGTCATCACCATTACAATGTGCATATTTCACTATATTCAGAATTTTGTTATATATTTATTATTAATTGTATATTGACGTTGTGCCTGAAGTTGACACCCGGCTGAAGTTGCAACTTCAGTCGGGTGTAACTTTAGGCATGACACAGTAACTTTTGAAACCCGGTACATAATTAAATATTAAATATTGATAAACTTGAATTGCTTAATATAAATACTTAATAATAAATGTTCTTTATGTCTACGGACTAAATTAAATAGTAATGTATTTATAACTTTTTAAATATTCAATAAAATTTTTAATACTTACAGACCAAAATGAACTTGAAATTATGATCTTTTGGTGATCTTTAGAATATTAGTTTTAAGAAGTCAATAATAATAAAAAAGCATTAACGTTAAAAAAAAAGACAAATTAATTTGCAACTTGATTCAGGCCATATACATACATATTTTATCCAATTTATGTAATTTTTTTCATGTAGTTATTTCTACTAGACATGTATTTATTTAATTTAGGTAATCGTGTATTATCTTATTTAATCTTAAATGTCAAAAACAATGAATTAAATGAAGGTTTCGCTCTAAAATAAATACGTGTAAGTTATGTTACGTGGATAGCAGGGGATAAATCAGTTAGTTGGATATAAGAAAAATTTTGCATTAAGTATACTGTATATGCACAAATTAGCAGCATCAAATACTGAAATATGCACGTTGATTGTAGCACAATGTTTATGTAAAATTTACATAAAAATTGAAATTTATCATTTATCGGGATGTTTATTACGTATGATCCTTTTGTTTGGCCAAAATACTTACGCTCGTACACATAATAAAAAAGGTATGGCGCATACAACTTTAATTATAAAACTCGTTATTATGTTTTTTTTTTTAAATTTAACTAATTATGTCAGTACGCACAGTACATGCATGCATGCTGTTACGTGCATGTACGCACGTAAGTACGAGTCCTCCGGTTGTTACAGCAGATTTTTGTTGGACAAATATATGTATCAATTATTGGCCGCTTACGAAGCTGATTATATATATTGCAAATTTCACTTATGCCCAACTGCCAGAATATACTATTACATACCTTCTGATCCAAAATTACATTTTGTTAGGGTAATGCTCATTTGAATAAATCATGCTTTAACCAAAAACATGATTATTTTAAAGTTTGATAAGACACTAAGTTAGAGTAAATAGTTTTGAAATTTGCTCAAATATTCAAAAGCTGTAAACAAAGCTCTAGTCAAAGAAAAAAGTAATGCTATATCAATTTAGTAAATTTGTTACATAATTTATATTTATTTATAAATAAAAAGAGCAATTCATAGACCTTACTGAAAATATTCTTTTTTAATCGTCTAAGATACCTTGTGTTAGAGTATAAAAAAAGGTTTAAAGAAAAAACTGCAAGAATAAACTAAATCGCAACAATGATGATATAAATTACTTATTTCTATATCTTCCGTTAGAATTATCCGAATTTCAGTAGATTAAGAAGCAAATTATATAGCTTCTCGATAATATTATGAAGAAAAAGAATTATTGAAAAATCGTGTTGATTGGGGCTGATCATTTCTATAATTACTAAAATGGTTAGTGGGGAATTAAACAAATAATTGGATACTCAAAATTATTCAAATTAGCTAGAAAAAGATATTACATTATCAATAAAACAAAAAATATTTAAAAGTTTTTTGATTTCTTTTAAATGCAGATCATAGGAAATGTCCTGTGACCGCTACCAATTTACGGGGACGTCTAAAGCGGATAATTAGTACAGTATTTATTGAATTAACTTTAGGTTAGGGTCATCTTAGGTTGGGTTAGGTTAGGTTTTAGGTACCTATATAAATGTAAATAGCCTTCCCGACATTTTTGCTTAACCTACACAAGGCAGGTTTGACTGTTGTTTTTTTTTCTTTCATTGCATCGCAGGCGATTATCAAAATTCTATAATTTGATTGGCTGTAGTCACATGATTATCACCGCTTTAGACGACTTCCAATTAACGTAACACTAAAGAAATCCAAAATTCCATCATACGGTCTAACCATTTTTGGCATCTGCATCGCAATTAGATCAGGCGTAACGTGAAATCAAAACAAAAATTCCGTTCAATTTAAATATAGAAATTACAATTATGCAAGTTTTTTTTATATGGATTTCTATAAATAGTATATAAAAAACAACATTTTTTTAAAAAAACCGCCGTAACTCAAAATTTCGCCTATGTAACCACCTTCTGCGCATTAATAAAAAAATTTCCTTGCAAAATTTTAGTATAAGACAAGCCTCGTTATTATTGTAAATCTGACCTTAATGTATCGTTTTATGACTTTAAAAAAATTGTCGATTTGTGAAAATCCATCGGTGCCACTGGATTTTTAGTTATATCAGCCATCCTTTAAGCTTAATTGGGTTTTTTATGGCATTTATAGTACATAATAATATAAATGTACTCAAAGGTACACGAACTTATTATAGAGGCGTCAGCATATATAAAATGTCTGTTTCTATACAAAAAAGTTACTTTTAGTACATTCATCATGGCAACAAAAGCAGAAATTAGTCCCGAAATCATACCAACCATCAGGCCAGAACTTGACGAGTTCATAGAAGGGGCAGTTAATATTACTAACACATTATCATCTTTCGTCCCAATACTTGGCACCGTCACCTCCTTAATAAATGATATATTTACTATCCACGAGAATGCACAATCCAATAAGAAAATGTCTAGATCTATAATTAACCGTATTGCATCCGTTGAACCGATCATAAAATTTTTGAAATCACCGTCTGAATATAGTGAAAATTTTCAAAACTTGCAATGTCAAGAGTCATTTGTAAAATTTCAGGTTATTTGAGGAAGGTTAAAATGTTTGCAGAAACAGTAACACAGTTAAGAGTCTATGAGACATTTTTGCGCGCCACGAGCATAAAGAAAGAGTTTATCGAGTTAGTGAAAGAATATGACGCTTGTATGAGTGATTTGAATTTTACTATGACTATTGTTTTTAATGAACAACGAAGAATTGATAACGATATTTTGATGCACGCTATTGCTGGAATGATTAAGGTATTGAGTAATTTTCATTGTAAGAAACTAATAAATCTTTACCCTCCTGGAAAGATTAGTTAACATTCTGCAAATTCACCGTTATTTCCAATAAATGTAGGATACGAAAGTATCTCTTTATCAAGAGATATGCAATATTAAAAACATACTTGAAAAACCGAAAGACTCGATCCAACAACTCGATCCAACTTTGCTAAAGGATCCGTTACTTAACCGCACATCAGATTGTCGTGGTAAATTAAAACAAATCGTAAAAAAAGTCTATAGGGGTTTTATCGAAGTAGCGTGTAAATCACGTGATACCGAAGATCAAAGGTTTCACCGTGAATTATTACTTTTAGAAAAACTGGATGAATGTCATTATGTTGAAAAATTTTATGGGATTTCCAAGGTCAATGGTAAAGAAATTATGATTTTCGAATGGGCTGAAATGGGCAATTTGAAGGAGGTCTATAATAGAGAACGCATTTCATGGAATTTAAAAGCTCGAATCGTATTTGAGATTTGCAAAGGGATCATATTTTTGGATTCCGTTGGCGTTTTTCACAATGATATTCGATGTGAAAATATAATGGTAGGATACAACAAATTGTTTTTTATAATCTACCTTTTGTCCAAGCTAACGACTAGTGCATCATTATTCAATTTGTGTAGATGTCACGCTTTATGGAACCGAAACTCGCAAATTTTCGTTTTGCCATACTGCATAATGAGACAAGTATAACAATAAATAAGCCAGTAGATGTTATCAATTGGATGGCTCCCGAGAAAATGCGTAGCCTATTAAAAGAATCAGATGATTCTAATCAAATCACATATAGCCAAAAATGTGAGATTTTCAGGTATTTATTTTATTTTTTTATTCTAGTTAATGGTTTAAATTTTAATTACAATTAATCAATAATTGTTAACATATTGGTTAATTTTATTTTAGTTTTGGGATGCTTATGTGGGAATTAGCTTACCAAAAGATTCCTTATAGCAATATGAAATCAAATGACGTGATAACTCATGTTATGAAAGGCAATAGAGAAATTTGTAATAATTTTCTCGATTCAGAAAATAAAGTTATTCATGAAAGTTTTATAAATATTATTCAACATGGTATATAGATTTTAATATAATATTTTACACATCGGCGGATTTGCGGAATGGATCTAAATTAGGGTCTCTGGATTTAACAATTGCAGAATGCATAATAGCTGAAATTTTGGGGTCAGTTTTACAATCGCATTGTTAAAATATATGGACCTTAATTTATGTCAATTCCGCAAATTCGCCAATATGAGACGACGTTAATTATAAATTCAAACATTACAATTGCTTAACTATTATTTTAATTTTTTAAAGCATGGAAGGATATTCCAGAAGAAAGAATCGATGTGAATGCATTATATTCAAAACTTATAGAATTGGTTTAATGGCTATGTTGAAATTTTTTATGTTTGATTAGGTTATTTAATCGCCATGATAATAAGCTGAACATTTTGTACTGTAGTAATTAACTTTTTTTCTTTTCATTATTGCACCAAATTCAACGTAATGATAGTAATGATAGTGGCAATGGCACAGGAATTTAAAATTTGGATATTTGGTCGTTATATTATATTTAACATCTCGTTATTTACCGTTATTTTATTAGTTAATTTTCTCAATATTTCATAATTTCTATTATTTTTGTGGTTGTCTAACACTGGTGTTAGAAAAAATCGTCCTTGGCTGCGTTTGTCAAGTTTGTTATTTTCGTACCATAATTTATGTTTTATTCGTTTTATTTTTATGATAAATTGTAGTACTTTAAGTCATTTTATTTTTATGCCTTTTATATTTCTATGTAACTAGAATTCATATGGACATAAGAGAGGAATTCACAACTAAATAAAAAAAATAAGATCTGAAATTGTTTCAAACATCGAGTTTTATAAATATCGATGATAGAATGAAAAAAAATTTCATTTATGAAATTAGTAAAACGTTAATCAGTGTTTATTTTATCAGACTCCGCTCCTCCTGCGCTTATACTGTGATCAAATACAGAAATACGTGTATAACTGTCATTCAAATATAGCTAATATAAAAATTTAAAAAAAAAACTACGTCATTTACATGAAAAATAAATTTTTCTTTTAAAATTATTTAATTCATGAAGTACTGCAGTATTGATTGCGTCCAATGTTTCCTTATGAGGCATGGTTGAATTTAACACATGAGACTCGTGGTGTCACGAGCAAAATGCTGTGGCCAACAATAACGTGGAATAAAACATCGGTGCCTTTGCAGATCATGAGATAAATTAAAAAAATTTTTCTAAGATTTTGGTCAACGAAAAAAAATTCTTTCATAATTTTGATGTGTTATATTTTTAAATAGTCTAACTCCAACCTAGCCATGGTTTAATACCAACTTTAAAATTAGCTTTAAGCAGACCGATACCGATCAATCCTGTGAATGGTCGATTAAACTTGCACAGTTTTCTTGTTATGATTCATTTTAAACAATATTCATATTATACGCAATATCAGCCTTTTAACATTTATATTTTAATATGAATATATAGAAAATATTCAATAAACATTTTTTATAAGATTAATTGAATCCTATATCGATTCTATATATTTTAAGATGCAACCACGATAGTGATATAGACCGATACCGATCGACCGGCCGACGATATTGTTAAAATTTTTCATTCAACTAAAATTGCAAATATTCATGTAATTTTGATCTTAATATGAAAACAAATTGCTAGAAAATCGTATCTATGCAGATGCTCAACACAAGATTTAACTAATAATCATAAGTTATATAATGAATTTCTATTGGACAAAAAAAAACTATACCCCAGCTGGGCTGAACAACGAAGATAAGTCTATATCACTAGAAAATCAACAAGAACCCTCCTTTATTCATTCAATAAGAGACCACATATATGGATTTTTAGATTTTGAGTTTCAAAACACGATTCATGCATTGAACCACGATCCGTGGTTTTATCCTATGAGCTAGTAATGTATAAGCCACAAATTAAAAGGAAGTTAAGGTTCTTTTTTCGCGCAACTGGATCCTATAAATATGAAAAATCAATAATTTATACAAATTATGCTCATATACAGCATAGATAAGATTCGGATAGATTCAATTTGTTATTAAAAAAGTAAAATTTTAATTTATAATTCGTCAAGAAAATTAATTATGAAGCAGAAAGTGAAATCATAATTGAATGATGTACTAGACATGTGAATTATTAAAAATTTAGCATATAGATGTTACCATAAAAGTTTAATATTCATGTTATATAAATATCGTGGTAGCTGAAGATGAGGTTTTTGAATATTTTAATATTAAATTTTAAAAATTTTTAGGGCCTTTTTTGTCAGCTTTTTTTAGAGTTGGGTTAGGGTTTATGGGTAGTTTTATTAATAAAAGAGTACAAGTGAATTTAAGTACCGTAAAAGTGCATATACAAGATCCCCATATAACATACCCACCTTCATTTTTTACTAATTACAGTCGACTCATACTATAACGAACCTCCATATAACAAATTCTGGATATAACGAACTCAAATTTTTAAAATTCCATAGTAGTTCGATATAGAAAGTGCTATTGATTCTTAAGAAAACAGTAATTTTCTATAACGAACTTTTTTTTTTCTTCCAGAACCGTTAATTTTGTTATAGAAAGAGTTGACTGTATTTTCTTTTTTTTACTAATTAATTTTTTGGTTAGAATGTAAGAGACCCGGGTCTTGTATACGCACTTTTACGGTAGGTATTATTGATTTAAATTCAGCCGGCACAAATATTACAGTATTAAGTTAGGAGGAAATTCGTCTGATTGGCTAATTTTTATGGATTTACCCGTGATCACCCGTGATAATTAAC